ACGACAAGAAGCAGGCTAAAAAAAACCAAGAGATCAAAGAAATCTTTGACTTGTTCTCAAGTCCTGGGATGCCTCTGCATAACTTTAAAGATGCTGTTAAGTATTCAAACACACATCCAATGCTGGTGATTTAAAACATTCTAAAAAGAAGATTGTTCTGAAATTGTTTAGCAGGAATTTAAAAACTCATTATTTGTGGTTTAAAACAAAGTGATGATTAGTTGCACAGAGTAGATACATGTGTGTCTTTGTAACTGTGTTTCATATTTATCTGAATCTGATGTTAGAATTCCTTTTATGATCTTAAATATTAAATACAACTAAAGAAAAAACAGAAGAACTCTGTACTGTAAGAATTCACAACATGTTTTCTTATAATGTTTGCCTATAATTCAGTATGTAGAACAGGGATATCAACTTAAACTAGCAGCCTGAGGCTAAACATGCAAGAATGATTTTTTCTAATTACTTAAGATAAATCATAAATATTTTGAAAGCATAGTCTTGGTTGTCAGTATGGCATGTTGTGTCATATTTGGATATCAGCTGCAATAGCTGCTGTTACCAGCAGCTCATAAAAAGTCTATCTAAAGTTTATCATCAAACCTATTTCAGACCGTGATCCAGCCCCACCTCTGGAACATCTAAGTCATATAGGAAACTAAACAATAAGAACTTTTTACATTTACTCAGATTATTAATTGAAATACCTCAAATAAAACTATTTTTAAAACCTTATTGTTAGCTGAAAAGTTGATTTTCTTATGCTTTAAAGTGTTTTCTTTTCTCTTTTAGCTGTTAAATATGTACCATTTTTATTTGCAAATATTTCAAAATTGAAGGCAACCTAACTATCATACAGTTTTTAAACGTAAATTCTAACTGTTTGTGTTATTGACTCAAAGCAGATTCTTTTAACTTTTTAACAGCCAATGATAGTGGAAAAAATATGACTCTCCTCCTGCCTGGTCTCATGGTGCTGTTGTATTTCCTGCTGGTGTTCCTGTTGGCCTGTTCCCAAATGGGTAAAGTACAAAATAAGACATGGAAATCAGCTTTATCTGTCAATGGCCTTGTTTTAGATTGTTTCTGTGTCTTCATAGTTCCATTGCTAACTTTGTTCCCTTACAGCTGCTGTGATCATGTAATCATGGCCAACACTTGTCATGGTTTTACTGCCATCACCGGTGACGCATTCATATAACTCAATGATCAGTTCTTTCTCTTTTTTTAAATAGAGTAAATTATTAATCTGTTTTTATGAGAATATAAAGAACAGGACTTTGAATCCAAGACTAAAAAAACAGATTAATAAAAGTAGCTTTAAAGGAAATTTTAGTTTACAGTGCCCTATTTCTTGATGTTAAAGTTACTTTTTATGTTTTCGCTTGTTCCTAAATTATGAATCCCTGCTTTACATAGAGAGCACCGATACGGTTTTTACTTCACATGCTCTCCAGTGACGTGACAAAGTTATCATGTTTGGGTAAAGCGGTCTCTACTATGACAACCAACTCTGTCTTTCCTCTTGTCACTCCAAAGGTCGCAGTCATAAACAAGGGATTTTATGACCTACAGGTCCACATTTCACTCCACCCAGGAGATGTAACTCATACACTGTGGTCAACGAAGACACAAAAAGGTGTCCTCTTTTCTTTTCTTTTCTTTGATCCTGTTTGATTGGAAAGACGTTTTGATTTTGACTCCAAGGGAACATCTGGAAGAGGAAAAAAAAAATGCCGTCTGTGACAAAGATTATCCATTTTTTTCTCAGTGCGCTGTTGACTGCAATATCTGTCGGTCTGCTTGGTTTTGCCATGTCAGATGATTGGTCTAGAACAACTATGGACTGCAGAGGATTTATAATCAACAACGGGAGTGCAGAAATCACACTGGGCCTTTTCAATGGCTTATTAGTAAGACAAACGTGTCCTAGCTTTGGCAATTATAAGGATTTTTCAGGTAATTATTCAAGTAACTTCCTCACAACATGTCTCCCATAAGTTAAAACTTCACTTTAACCATAGCCTAGTATGATACGATTAGCTACATGTGTGTTCTTCACATACCAATTCGTTATGATGTACGATGCGTTTCATTTTATAGATTTATAGTCTGATATTTTATGTGTGTCTACAGTGTTTACAGAATTATCAGTCATAAAAGGAGCTTCTCTGGCTCTCCATGCTCTGTGTGTGGCCCTGCTGGTCCTGTGCCTGCTGTTCTCAGCCCTCAGCATCCTTATCTCGCTCTACAACAGCGTCAGCAACCCTTACCAGACCTACATGGGGCCTATCGGGGTTTACACCTGCTCCTCCATCAGTGGTGAGTTTAACTAGAATGTCTTTGTTTAGTATGCAAAAACCTTAAGACTGTATACCTTTGAGTTTTACATCCCTAGTATGTAATAAAGGCACAAAGAACATAACAGTAAAAGTGTAACATATATTTGATTTGAAATATTTTAATCTTTCACTATTAAACTAAATTGGGATTTCACCAAAGGCTTTGATTATCTTGAATAGAACAGTTCAGTCAGTGGTATGAAAACCAGAAGGGTATGGTGGAGTTGAAAATCTATAGACACAAGGAAAAAACATAAGGTGGGGGCATAATGGGAGGAAGTGAAACTTAGCCATGTAAACCCAAGGCGAGAGGGGGAGGGATTCTCCTTGAACTAAAAGCAGGTGAGTAATTATTACAACAGTTGCAGTGTAGTGCTTAATAAAATGAAAACAACATATAAAGACAGCTTCAGTAGAACTCTTTAAATTTTGCATTAACGGCCTTTTTTTATATATATATTTGATTTCTTTTGTGTCCAAAAAATTAACTCTTAGGCTTCTGTGTTTGAGAAAGAAAGAAAGAAAGAAAGAAAGAAAGAAAGAAAGAAAGAAAGAAAGAAAGAAAGAAAGAAAGAAAGAAAGAAAGAAAGAAAGTAAAACCCAAAAAATTAAATGTGTAACTGTACATGATTTTGCTTTGTTGTCTTATTAATACAGAATATCAAAATATGTGTATGTGCAGCTGAGTTAAATGCAATCTTTTCCTTTTGCAGCTTGCTTGTCTCTTTTGGTCATCATCTTATTCGTCCTGAACATCAATGTGACAGACATGCAAGAGCAGTTGGTTCCTCAAATTGGCAGTATTGACACCGAGAATCTAGAACTGTCAAACAAAAAGTCAACGATGCTGGTGGGGTACTTCATGCTTATCCCTTACACCGTGCTCTCTCTGGGAGCTATATTGGCCATCTACCTGTACGACCATGCAGCCTACATGCACAGAAGAGAGCAGGAGAAGCCAACGGAGGATGCTCCCAAGGAGATCATGATGTACTAGTGGTGATCAAAACAGAGACACTTTAACATTCCTTTTGACTTTTTGATAAATTATAAAGGATCATAGTTGGGCACAGGAAAAAAAATGAATGCACATGTTGCTTGAAGTATAATGTGCAGCAATTTGTTCATTATTTTTAGTAAAGAAGTTAGTTTAAGTTCACTTATGTTTTACACATTTTGTGGAAAACCCCTTTAACTCCTCGTTCTGCCTTATGCTGAATTTCCTTCAAACAAATTAGCATTATTTCAAACCTATTTATTTCATACAGTACATGAACAATGTAATGGAACTTAGTGCAACATGAACATGAACTTAGTGATACATGTTTATGTTTTCCATAGCAAACAGTCAAATTAGCATCAGCAGTTAAAACTGCTCAACAGATTTAACCTAACTGGATTCATTCTATGCAGATCACTTTGAATAAATGTAATTTTTACACTTAGTGTTTTTCCATCATGATATTTTAACCACTTAAAAAATAAAATAAAATAAAAATCTGATTCTTTGACTGGAAGTGAAACACCAACTATGATGGGAAGGGTAAATAAGTATTTCCTGATGTTTGCTGCCCTCTCTCTGTGATCTGATGCAATTACAAAGAAAATATCTGCTGCAACATCTCTGGTTGCCTTAGAAACACACTTTATGGTGACATGTTGATACAGTATGTCTTCTGTTTCCCCCGCCCAAAAACCTTTAACCAGAAGAAATTCCACTGGATATTTTAGTTGAGTATTAAGACTATCTTGGAGCATTTGCCTCTTTTTTTATTTGTTTGGTTTATACCTTCTGCATCCATGTTAATCTTAAACCTTAAATTTCCTGCATTTTCCAGTTTATGCTGCAGTTAAATTAGGATGGTTCCTAAGCCTAGTTTAAGACTCATTTTCTTTCATCTGGGTGTGACAGCTTGAATCAGAGTGTTAAACCTTGGGCACAGCTGGGTCAATTAAAAATGCATTTAATCTCCTTAACTGAACTATACAGAGGAGCCACATTTGCACAGAGGAATCAACTATTTTAGATGAACTGTACCAACTTTGGTAGAAAGAATTGTCACAATAGCAGCATTCAAAAGAGTGTGTTGGATTTTAGCTATTTGCAAAAGGGCAGATAACCCAATATTAGTTGGTGTGTATGTACGTATTTCAGCCTGTATGAATTTTTCTGAAACTGTGGATTGTATTAAATGAGCATTAAAATTAAACTTGTAAAAATGTTTTTTTTTTGTTTTTAATTGAAATAAATAATTTAACATATCAAATTAATTTAGCATTTAGGAGGAACCGCCCCTGCAGGTCAGAGGAAAGGGCCGTGACAGTAATGTTGAGGTTTAAATCTTAAGCATGGTGCAAGCTGGCATGTTATTGCCCTTGGAGGTCTCTGTTGCAAAAAAGGCCTGGAAAAAGAAGATGAATCATTGATATTATGTTAACAGTATGCTTTTTTATCCAGCCTTTTTTTTATTACACTTCAGCAGCTCTTAGAAATAATCATAAAAGTAGTCACACCCTGTCACACCTCTTAACATTAGAATTGCACCAGTGAATCAGCAGTGCGCTTGGTCCATGTTTGTTTTAGTCAGAGTGCCCAAAACAGGGAAGAGGAGACAGCATTGGGGAAATCAGTGTGAGAACCTGAAGGAGTTATTGTAAAGCTTTTAAATATTAAGATATTGGGCTGACTGCTAAGCATGGAGGTAATGGCATCATGCTATGGGACTGTTTAGCAGCCTGTGGTGTTGGTGATTAAAACATGGAAGAAAACAAGGCAACTACAGTTTTTTTTTTTTTTTATCTCAGAACAAGGACACACCTCAGTTTTCAAACAGTCAACTGCAGCTTTGTACATTTAGACTTAAGCTTTGGAAATGTTCTTAACAAATCCTGCCGTCAACAACTACAACACTGCCAGATTTTCTTATCAGGTTAGAGCTCTTGAAAAAAAAAGCTCTTTAAATTTCTGTCCTGGTTCTATCTAAACTTTACCGTTTCTCCTTAGCTTCACATTTATTAATCAAATTTTAAGGGTAAAAAACACAAATTCACAACTAAAAGAGTTCAGTATTAGGGAAAAGGCTTGAAGATTCTGCGAAAGCTCAAACCGAACCTGCTTTTGTCTCCTGGATTTTCTGACGCACTCATAGCTGTGATTCATATGACCGTGTTGACATCAGAGCAAGGCTGAGGTGTCCCGTTACCTTTTCCCGTGCCCCATCACTCAGGGACTATGGTCTGTTTGGACATGCCCTTTCCAGCACCTCTCAGCCCTGCAACGCCTTCTACCTGCCTTCAAAAGATCTACTCTTCCTTCAAGTTTCACACTTCAAGGAACCTGCAGAAGGATGAAGCAATTTGCTTTGTCGTTGTCAGAGTGAAAATGTATTAAATTTCTGGGAATGTCTGCTTTCTGCAATGAATCAAAGACGTTTCTGGTCTGTTCGTAGAGGAGAACATCAACCATATCTTCCACAGAGAGGCTGAAGAAGCTTGTTTGTGAAAACAGCATGTTAGATACTTTTTTTTTTTTTTTAGATGGTCCATATTTTACAGTTTTTAGTCCTATAAATAAAGCAACAATAAAAAAACAACAATATATGGAATGATTCTGTCTGGTTTTTAAATATTTTACTTTTGGCGTTTTCTTTTTCTATTCTCAAATACTTTCTGTATTTATTTCTACATGTCCCTTTAGCTGTATCTACCGTTTACTTTAATAACTTCATAAACTAAAATAAAGTTAGATAGCATTAACCTCTCGGATTTAATCTGCTTTGGGGGGTCTTTGCACCCAAGTTAACAGACTTTCCTCTGCTTGAAAGCAACAAACAGCATCAAGCATTTGCAACAATTAGTAATGAGACTTTTAGATCACTGAACCGGGTTTCTGGGCTGATCTCCTCTGTAGAGATGTTTGAATTAAGCAACACTGGATCATTTCCAAGCATCAACACCATGTTTAATGCATTAGACTAGGCTGTTAAATTGAATTCAGTTAAATGTATTTATGATTCTACCGCTGCATAACCCAGGGGTACAGTAATTTAATGAATATAATATTATAGGGACGATTCAGTTAGACATGGTTTGATTACATTTGCAGTACCAGGTTAGAGTTGAAACAAAAAGGTATTTTTTTTAACCTCTTGTCCCTCATTCAGTTTATGAAAAATAAATATAAAACATATGATACTATATGATAGAATACAATACGTAGGAAATAGACTTAAACTTAGACTCAGCTTTAATTATCCCTTGGGATTACTCCTTCAGGGATATTCTGGCTACAGTAGCTTATATAGAGTAGAAAGAGTTAAAGCAAGATTCCATTAAAGATAAAATACAACGGACAATATAAAAACAGTATATAGTACAAAAAAGCATAAAAAAAGAAAAGAGTTGTTATGTCCTGGAATATGTTTCCCTTAAATAAAAAAATATATCTGCATAGTAGAGAGCTAAGGAAAGACTACACAGTAATTGACTTGGATTGACATGATAAATTGGATTGAAATGACAAGCCAAAATGATTTCGAGAAACAAACATGCTAAAACATTACACAGAGATAAAAAAACAATCAAAACAATTATAAATTAATATCTTCCATCAATGTGACTTGTATTAAGCTATGATACATTAATGGGGGTAGATAAGGTAATTAAATAAATGGAGGGGATTTCCTTTCCTTTCCTTTCAGGATCATCTTGACAAAAATACTTTTGAAGTAATTGTATCATGTCTTCTCCAATGGATATTCCTTTTACTGTGGTTTGCTTGATTCCCTGAACCCTTTCAAACTGACAGATCCTAATAATGTAAAATTTCTTTAGGTTAGAGTTAAAAAAAAAATAAAACTGTTGTTTGTTCATCATTTCAGGCGTTTTGTGTTTTTTTTTTAGCACTCTCTTGAGAATACAGCTCTGGCAGTAACTAGGGCTTGCTGTTTGCAATTGGAAGCGAGCTCAGAAATTAAATTCAAATCAGAGGGCTTTTCTTTTACACAGTGACAATTCATTAAAGATAAGACTTGTAACCTATTGATTAATTAAATAATCATTCATTTTGTTTTACATACACAAATAACATTTACAGTACTGATGTTGAAAAAAGCAAATCAGAAAAATCCATAATGGGTGAATTCTTCTTCACAGTACCCATTCCACACAAAGTAAAAGGTTTCAGGTATGGAATAAATGGCCATGCACCGTTCCATGCATGGACGTACTGATTAAGGCTTCTTTTACATCACATATTGATACAGTTAGGGAAGAACTTTTTCTTTGCTTTAGGCAGGAACTTCCCTTTTATAACACTTTTCTTTCCAATTAACTTGCCATTATTATGGTTGAAGTTTTCTTGGTTTGTAGGTTGCCCTTGATTTGTCACCGATTGTTCTCTGGACAGCTGCCAAGGTGGTTAGTCTTTCCTATCATTGAGACAGTTGAAACATAGCCACAAAACACCTGCTGTTAGAATAGAATAGAAAATCTCTTTATTGTCCCACAATGGGGAACATTTATATCTTTTGATGGTATAATTTAATGTTATACCAGCAAAATATTCTAGCAATAGTAGTCACAAAAATCTAGACCTTAAAAGTGAATATTCTTAACCTTATATTAAACCCTAAGTATATTCAACTAAACAAGTTTTTGTTTTTTTATTTAAAGAAGACTGTTAATTTTAGGACAATCTGATTTAGTTTTCATTAGTTGTAGGCAATATTAAGATTTTTTACTTTTCGATATGCAATTTTTTTTTACTGAGATACCCCTATACCTCTGCTTTTTTTTTTTTTTTTTACTCAAGATGTAATATATATTTAACAGCATTGGTAAATTCAATTTATTAGAACATTCAACACCTATATTCTGGAAGAGAAGCTTAAGCATTCTAATCTTCTGGGGTTTCTGCTGTGCAGACCTGCTGTTTGCTGTGCAAACATTGATTCAATAAAATCAGAGATGGGTCAGTAATCTCTTCCTCCTTGCAAACTCTCCACCTCACAGCTCACCGGGATGGAGAATAAACCTATGGATTAAAGTGGGAGCCCTAAGCC